GCGATGGAAAGATCAGGTGGAGAAGGACTTGGCTTCACTTGGCGTTTCCAATTGGCGTCAGTTGGCACAGAGGAGAAACGACTGGCGTGCTTTGCTGAACTCGGCCAAAATCGCTTAGGCGGTAACAGCGCCAAAAAAGAAGAAGAAGAAGATGTAATTCAATTGGCTACAAATCCGCATACCAATTTTTTAGAAATTCTAAATAAAGAATGAAATTTGGATTTACATGATTTTTGTTAGATAAATAACTTTAAAAAATGAAGAACAAATCCAAATGATAAACATTGTGGATATTGTAAAAATATCACTGTATAATTGTGAGTGTGAGTCACTGTGTTTATTGTTTGTCATTTTCTTAATTATTACAGTTGAGACACTTGAACAGGTCCTCTGAAATTGAAGCAACTTCTCCTTCGCCTCAACTTTTAATGCTGGAGGAGTGTTCTTCAGAACCTCCAAAAAAGCGGAGGAAAAAAGATAATGTTAATTTCCAAAATGAATTTATGGAACAATTTCGCGCGGCAAACCAAACAATCGCTTTGGAAATGAAAGAGCTGAAAGAGGATAGCAAAGAAGCCCTGCAAATTGAAAGGGATCGGAATGCTATTCTCAAAAAATTTCTGGAGGCTTTCAAACAAAATAAGTAATAAAATTTCGGGCCATTTCCAAATTGCAGGAAGGAAATAATAGTGTCTCACTGTTTAATTAAGTGTCCGCCTTAATGTTATTTGGAGATGACCCTAAACAGAATTACTTATTTTAATTATTTATTTCCATTACTTATTTTATAAATCTTTTTGTTTGGTAAATAATTTATTATTTAAATATAGTTGATAGCTCAACGAAAACCGTGTAAAACAAAGTTCCGAATTTTGTAGAAAATTTAGAAAAAATTTAATTTTCACCAAAATTACAAGTTTTTTAACAAGAATTTTATGAAAATTTTAGGAATGCTTGCAATTTATGTACAAAAATGTAATGGGCTATAAAGTTTCATTTATAAAAGTCTTAAAAAAAATATTCAAANGTAGAATTATTAACAAAAACCAACAACCACATGATCAAGTGTGTGAATTGCAGNGCAATTTATGTACAAAAATGTAATGGGCTATAAAGTTTCATTTATAAAAGTCTTAAAAAAAATATTCAAAAAAAAAGTAATTTTGGTGAAAATTTGATTTTTTCTAAATATTATACAAAGTTCAGAACCTGGTTTTACACAGTTTTCATTGAGCTATCAACTACACCCTTGGCCAAAAGTATTAGGTACCCCAATATAACACGATTTTTTAAATTTTTCTTTTGTTTATTTAATGTTTAATATTGTTTTTTTTTTTTNTGGAATCGTCGGTTCGAATCCTTATGAAAGAAGTCTGATGAGGAAATGTGGTGATTTCCGAAATAGCTATCNTTTGTGCAAAAAATATAAAAATTCTACAAACTTTCACCAAAATTTCCAAGTTTTCATTCAGAATCTTTAGAAAAAGTTATCTGTACAGTTTTGTAGCCCATAAATTTGTAGTATACATAGTAGTATTTAGTTGTTACTAAAGAATTCCGTTGATTTTTGATTATTTTTTCCGTTGAGGGTATTGGGCATTTTCTTCCATATAAAAAAACCTTTTATGCAACAAAGTGCATGACACCTTCAACGAAAAAATCATCAAAAATCAACGGGATTCTTTAGTAACTACTATGTATACTAAAGTTTTATGGGCTACAAAACTGCATACCTAATTTTTTCCAAACATTCTGAATAAAAAGTTGGAAATGTTGGTGAAAATTTCCAGAATTTTTATATTTTTTTCACAGTTTGGAATTAAACTTTAAATAAACAAAAGAAAAATTAANTCTCAAGCTCCATAAAAATTGTTGAATATAGTTGTTATAAGGCCATAAAATAACAAAAACAAATACAATTTCAATGTCTATTTATCATATTGTTTGAGCGTTAGATGTCCTAGAGTCCAAACGCATAAGTAGCCCATTACGCCCATTACGCCCATTTGGGTACTTAAAGTTGACATTATAGACAATGTTTTTATGTAAAAATACAAATTTTTGAAAATGCTATAATCAGTAAGGAAAAAGTTTACTTAATTTTTTTTTTTTGTTTTTTATACGTTGCACATTAATGTAAAAAATGTACAATTAAAGCCCATAATAAGACGGAAGAAATACATTTTTTATCATTAAGTTTCGTTAAAAGGTTTCCAAGATACAGCACTTTAAAAAAAGGTATGTATGACGTTTTCTTAAAATTTAAGTCCCGTGTAAATAGGCAACCCTACGTCAGATCGGCAAAATATGCCGCACGTTAATGTATTCATGTCACCTAGACCTCGGAAATGAAATGAAAATATCGATTTGACAATAAAAACTGGTCATAAAGAGAGGTCGGTGGATGGACACACATTTTTGGTTATTTAAAAAATTTACATAATAGCTATGTACACAAATCATTGATTAGATTATGAAAGCTGCTACCATTCGATGGTTGTGGAGATTTGCTACTAGCTGGCTCCAAAATTGAATAAACACCGCCAATATTGTATTACAGTTTGATCGCGAGATGAAATGGGGTTTATTCTCTAAATACAAATTAATGATATATATATCGTCAAAATTAGCAATTTGNGTAAATACAAATTAATGATATATATATCGACAAAATTAGCAATTTGTACGTATAAAGCAAATTAAAGCATTTTACAACTCACTTGATTTTGGACTCTACAGCTCCACAGCCAGCAACGATGTCAACTTACTTAAGAAATGTATACAGAAAAAATATAACCGTTGCGGACAGTGTTTCTGTGTTTTAAAACAGTTTGACATATAAGAAATAAGTACTAAATAAATTGTGCTGCCGCTGCGTACACGACATCTCCGGCCCCATGAATTGACCGCGACGGTGTNCCCGGCCCCATGAATTGACCGCGACCGTGTTCACAACGTCTAGTTACGCAAGTTTTGAAACTGGACGCTTAAGTAAGCTTTGTGACGTCTGGACATCTGCTGAACGAGCAACGCCATCAGGCCCGTAATAGAGCTTTGCTACGAGACCTCTTTTCCATTGCGACCTAGACAGTTCCGCTTCGCATATTAGAACCTGATCACCAACGTTAATAGCTTTCGACGGACGACACCATTTACTTCGGCGGGTGAGCTCTGGCAAGTATTCCCGCATCCACTGCTTCCAAAAACCGTTCCTTAAAGTTTGATCGATTCGCCACTGTTTCCTTAGGCAGAGCAACTTCTTATCTACAGGTGCCGGTGTTTATGTCGAGTTTACGGAATTGAGCAAAAAATTATTCGGCGTAATCGGTTCCGGATCATCTGGAGTGACGGGAATGTGTGTGAGCGGCCTAGAATTTACTATATTCTCTGCTTCTACCAATAGACTATTCAGTGTGTCAACTTGTGGGGCGCATTCTTTTAGCATTATAAACAACGCCTTCTTTACTGACTGTACGAGTCGCTCCCAAACACCCCCTTCGCTTGGGTGTGACGGGCGGTTAAATTTCCACCGGTTTCCTAGTGGCGTTAAAGCTTCCGAAATGGCACCGTGGTCCATAAAATCTTCGACACCACGCAGTTCTTTTGTTAAGCCAACAAAATTAGTGCCATTATCACTGCGTATCTGAATCGGAACGCCTCTTCTATTTACAAAATTACGTATGCATAGCAGCAATGCATCTGACGAAAGGGTTGTCGCCAACTCCAAATGAATAGCACGGTTAGTGAGGCAAGTGAATAGTGCCACCCATCGCTTTTCCTTTCGACGTCAAATTGTGACGAGCAATGGGCCGAAGAAATCCACTCCACTTTACGTGAAGGGGCGTACATAAGCAGTTAACCTATCGACTGGTAGAGGGGCCATTAAGGGTTGAGCCGGCACGGCCTTGCGTATACGACGGAAGTTACAATCAGATGCTACGCTTTCGACGAGTACTCGCAACGATGGTATCCAAAACTTCTGTCGAATCTCGTTGACAATAAGATTCACATTGATGTGGCGCCATTTGTTGTGGTACCATATTGCAACTAATCTCGTTAAAGCGTGATTTTTCGCCAGGATTATAAGCCGTTTCGCTGAAATTGGTACAAGGGGTGCATTTTCAATACGTCCGCTTATCAGTTACACTCCATCTTCGTCAATATACGGATTTAAAGTAACCAACGGACTGCTTTTACTTACAGGCTTTTTATTTCGAAGCTGCTGAAATTCGACAGGGTACACTTCTTCTTGAACGGTGCGGCAAAGTACAATTTCAGCGGCCGCTTCTTCGTCTGCTGTAAGGCCACCTTTAGTTACCGCCAGCTTTAAGCGCGCAGCTGAAAAATTCCTTGTGAAACGCAGAACCCAAGCCATGCACCTTTTCAACCTGGAAAGATTTGCAAATCGCTTCAAGTCTATTATATTCAATCTTACACTGCTTGCTGCAAGTATGCAATGTTCTGCTCTCAACTCAAGTACGCTTTCTTCAATTTGTGGAATTATTTGAAGCTGACGTGGCCAGTGATGCTCTGCCTTCAGCAAAAAGTCTGGCCCGGTTAACTACCTGCTGTACGATGTCGGAAATTTCGCTCGCGTTCCCTCATCGGCAACATTTTGTTCGGAGGGAAACCACCTCCACTGACTGGCGTCGCTGCCGTCCAAGATTTCCGCTATCCTGTTAGCAACAAACTGCTTGTAGCGACGCGTACTAGACCGTATCCAGGCAATAACTGTCGCCGAGTCACTCCAAAAGTAGACACGGTTGGTTTTCATATTATGCTCGTTGATTATCGTTTCTTTCAGGCGAACTGCCATGACCGCCGCTTGCAATTCCAACCGCGGGATTGAATGGAATTTAAGTGGTGCACATTTTGCTTTCGCTGCATTGAAACGAACGACTGTGACATCATATAATATTCGCCAGTGCGGTACAATTGCGACAGCACTCTCGCTGGCGTCTGCAAAAATGTGCAGCTCAACGTGCGAACACGATGCACATCTTTTATAATCGCAACGCGGTAATCGAATTGTTTGACTTAAGGCATTTCCTCCAACCATGCAGACCATTTGCTAAAAATGTCAATGGGAACCGTTTCATCCCATTGAATTCCGCGAGTCCATAATTGCTGCAGCAGCAGTTTTGCTGATATGACGAAATTGGCCAAAACGCCGAATGGGTCGAAAATCGACATCGAAGCAGACGCGGAGGGCCTTAACCTTTACCCTTCGCTCGCTTGGCGACATATTATTAAATAGGGGACAGCTTCCCAATTTACCACAGCTACCGTTGCAAATTAAGCAGCTTTCTTCAGCGTGAGTTATAAGGATTCGCTTTTTTACACCCTTTCCCTGGCCTGATTCGAGTTGTCTATTACGTAAAGTGGAGGGTACTGCTACCATTGCAGCTCGTGGCAATGAGTCTACTATAATGTTTGCTCTTTTTGCTATTATGCTCAAAAAATCACTAAAATTATCTATGTTTGCATAACCCTGCAACTTTTCCTTATACTCCGCCCATTTCATTTGCTCTTCTACTGGAATTTTAGATACCAGCTCACTGAGCAACGTAACGTCACAAAGCCGCTGCTCTGCCTTTGCATAGCGTACAAAGGCTATCATATTTCTCACTTTATTAGCAAATGGTATAATTAACCCTAGAATACTAACGTTCGCCTGTGAGGCGGAACGAATTCGGTTTCCGCGCGATATTTCAGGAACGCTTTTAATGATCAAAATAAACGTTCGCGCCAACTCAGCTTAGAGCTGTACGAGGCTGTTAGCAAACGCANGGTTAATAATCGGGCATGTGCTGCAAATCGTACGATTTGAAAACGATGCGATTTGCAAAACATTTTTTAATATAATTAATGCAAGTAATAAATATTTCCAATAAAAACTGATAGAAACGCAAAAGGTCGTATTCTTCTCTTTAGCGGCACTTTTTTTCTGTTTTGTTAAGAATTCTCTAAAAAAAAATTTGTAAATCGCACCGATTTCAAATCGTACGATTTGCAGCACATGCCGGAATAAATAAAAATATTGAAAACGAAAGGCATTGTTAATAGGTATTTAAAAAGAAAAACACGGTATACTGAGATTTGTAAGTGACTGTATGTACCTGCATGGGAAGATAGAAGTAAATATCGACTGCTGAGTGGAAGATCGACCTATATCGGCAGCCAGATCGAAAACGCCGTATCTCAAAAAACTTTTCAAAAACGTCCTATTTCAGAATTTGGTTGGAGAACGCCCTATTTCACAATTCGTTTCAAAAACGCTCTATCTCAGCAGCCGATTCAAAAACGCCCTATATCACCTCATTTTCAATACATTTTGAAGTGAGATAGGGCATTTTTGAAACGAATTCTGAAATAGGGCGTTTTTGAGATAGGCCGCTTTCGAACTGGCTGCCGAGATAAGTCGATCTTCCACTCAGCAGTCGATATGTAAGTAAATGAATTATTTTATTTTAAGTTTGTAAATGAAATGAGTTTAAACTTTTAATTTTAAACTAGTCAAGCCAAAGGTTACTAGGCATTTGTTAGGACAGATTTAATGAATTTAATAATAAAAGAAAGGAATTTAAAAAAAGTATGAAATAAATGAAATTTAAAAGGTACATAGATATGAAGCGATTGATTCTCTTATGTTTTCCGCGCTGGGATTGTGGTTTTGAGTATTGTAGGGCGGTTCTGGTTGCTGTCGTAGATGTTCGATTTCAAAACTGGTTTGGACTTGGATCCAATTGTTGTTAATGCTATCATTACGTTCATTAACAAAATTGTGGAGGACACAGCAACATTTTATTATTGACGTTGCATTTTTGATGTCATTATCAATGCCTTTACCAATTCTTCTAAACCTTGCTTTCAAGTGGCCCAAAGCATTCTCTACTTCTCTTCTAGATTTGGAAAGTTGATAATTAAACACCTTTTCGCTGTTTTCGGCTGTTGCGTTGTAAGGATAAGGCTTCATTAGAAATTTCGTAAAGCGAAATGCTCGTTTTAATGATGATTTTTCGAAAATTTTAGAATCGTTGCAGCGGCCGGGTGCTCCGACATTTATGTACATAAACCTATACCTGTGAAAAATTAAGTTGAGTATTTTCATCGAACGTATGGATATGACACGGTTACCTGCAGTCAACAAGGGCTAGTAAAACCATTAAGTACGAACCCTTATAATTATGATAGTCTACAGCATCAGCGGCTGAGGGTCTAATTTTAATGTGGCATCCATCTGAAGTTAATTAAACAAATTTTTAATTTTTGATCACTAGTTGCATTATATGTACAAGTTACCGACAGCTCCGAGACATTGAGGAAATCCAATTTTCTCAAATCCCTTAACACACTCTTAAATTTTTTTTTGCGTAAGGAATGTGCTGGGTAAATACTTAGGAGCGAACTTGTCCCAGACCGCAGAACAAAAGTCTATTAAAATATTACATACGCTTCCTTTTGATACTCCAAACAGCCGGCCGATCGTCCTGTATTCAGATGAGGAACCAAGCGCATATAAAGCAATCGCTACGCGCTTGTTTAAAGGGATGCATTGCCTAAAAGTTGTATCGCTTTTTGCAATAGACGTCACTTCGTTGCATAAAAAGGCGAAGGATTCGAGGCTCATTCTTAAGCACTCCTTAAAGAATTGGTCGCTGCTGGCAGGAATGTCCAGCTCCCAGAACTTGCCGTGTCTTGCCTACAATACACATACGCGTTGATTATTATATTCACTAATAAAAAAAATAGCTGTTATAATTGCTTACGTGTGTCCACAGACGCTTTGGCGGTTATTCCTTATTATAAAATATAATAAAGAATTTCACATGCGTATTGCTGCCATAATTTTTTTCGATCTCAGTAGCCGCCTTTTTCGGATCTCTTCCAACTGCCTATTACTGGCAGCCAATTGCGCAATTAACTGAACTATTGCATCTTTTTGCCTTCTTTCCATATCGTTAATAATTAATTATAATTCAGCAAACGAAAAACACTTAAAT